TGCATTAAACCCTCAGGCAACACCACACTCGCTGGTCTACTGGCCCCAATTTGATGACCAAGCCTATAGATGGCTCAGTGTCCTGTGAAGGGCCCTTTGTCGAAGAGCTAAGCAGGACGCTCTTACACCTGACCTGATGGTGGCTCATAGTTGGCCACAATCTCACTGAGACCCTCAGACTCATCCGCATCTCACAGATGAAGAGTAAGAGGTTCAGACGGGTGGGGTGGCTTGGTGGGGTCGCTCAGCTACAATAGGCCAGTTGGGGGGAGATGTCAGGCGCTGTGTCCATGACACGAAGGCACAAAGGGTGGGGAGGCAGCTTGGGATTGAGGCATGAAGAACAGGGTAGAGCCTGTTCCAACACCAAGGGGCTCAGGGTCCTTGGGAAAATCATGTCATCTCTCTTGGCCTCAACCCTGCCTGCCTCGTAGAATTGGGCTGACAACATGGACAAGACAACATGGGGGAAAAGCCCTAAGAAGACTGCAAATTATCTTTCAAATGTTTATTTCTCCCGTTCCCTGTTAGAGCAGTTGTCCAAGTGAGCAAAAGACATCGACACGGAATATGACAATGAAATTGAAGGCATGATCAGTGTCCTTGTTTTGAATCCTGCAAATGACACATGTCGTGGCTGCCAGTCCTCAGGGTCACAGCAGCTGGGAGGTTCTCCTGACCTCCCAGATCCCAGCAGCAAGGCTGATGTGCTCCACTTGGCCTGTGCTGGGCCATGCACAGGGCACACAGAGGCACAAGGTCCTGGTCCTGACCCCTGGCAGGGACTCTGGTTTGGAAGGCATCCAGGATGACCATCTGTCTGGTTTTCCTGGGGCTGAAAGGGTTCCTGGACTCAGGACTTCAGTACCAAAACTGAGAAAGTCTTGGACAAATGCACAGAAAACCCCAGAAGCAGCTTGCCTGGAAGAATGGCGAATGGCCTGCCCAAGGCTCAGTTTTGGCACCAGCAAAACACATCTGCAGGGCAGGTACTGTCCTGAGGATGTGTTACAGGCTCTGAACCTATAGCCAGTATATGCTGTTGCTTCTCCCACAGGTCCAGGAACCAAGGAGTGGATGTGGGAGGGGCTCCTCACAGTGTAGACCCTAGCCAAGTGTCTGCTTCCCACCCAAGCAACATGGAGAGCCATTGGCTTGAAAGTCTTAGTCTTAGTCCCCAGGGAGGAAACCCTTCCCCAGAACATAGAACCAGAGCTCCATGGCATCAGAAGTTGAGACCAACACCTAGTTACCTTGGAATCTTCATGCTCCTGAGCCAGTGGGCAAAGAAGGGGGCCTTTACTGTCCAGGGCTTCCTCCTGATTACCAAGGAGTATCGCTACATGTGGAGGGCAGGGAGGATGGGTCTAGAAGACCAGGGAGTCTCCAGGGCATCTCTTAGTACTTCCTGTCCAACAGCAACAAGCCAGAGACAGACCCTTCCCAGATAAAGCTTTGAACAATCCCACCAGGTAAAGAACCCAAGTAGATACAGACAGGGGACAAAGGAAGCCCAGAATGACTGCCGAGCACAGAAACTTCTAGTTGCCAACAGGTCTCAAGACTAGTTACAGAAATGAAAACTAGCTTCTATGGCACATATTCTCTCTTGCTTGGTGTCCGTAGATTTTCCCTTTTCTTTTCCCTATTTTTAAAACATTTTGGTACACTTCTTAGTGTACATACAGAAAAGTACATAAAGCACAAGTATATAGCCAGGAGTACACAAGTGAACACATCTGAGCAACAGCTACCCAGATCAAGAAACAGAACATAGACAGTATCCCAGACGTTCCCCCCTGTGCCCCTCCAAGGCCTACCGCACCCAGAGCAACCACCACCCCATCCTAACACCTTATAGTCGTTTAGCCTATTTTGAACTTTACATGCATGGACTCATACCATCTATTCTCTAACTTAGGGCCTGGCTTCTTTCACTCAACTCTATGTGGAGAAGGTTCATCTATGCTGTGCATTGTAGATGGTTCACGTTCATTGCTCTGACATTTCCTTTTGTGAAGATACAAGCATTTATTGATCTGGATATTTGGGTGGTTTCTGGTGTTTGGTTATTACCAAGTACTGCTCACACGTCTTTCAGTGAGATGTATATGCAGTTCTCTCAGCTATGTTCCTAGCAGTGAAATGCTGGCCATAGGGGTGCATATGCGCAGCTGAGTAATACCGCTATTTTCCAAAGTGATTATATCAGGTCACGCTCACCCCCCTCCCCAGCCGGCCCCCAAGCAGCGTGTGTGAAAGCTTTGCTTTCTCCACACCCTTCAGCAATGCTCAGGATTCTGCCTTTTTCATTTTAGTCTTTCTGATGGGTGAGTGGTGGTGTGCACTACAGCTTCCCCTTCCTTCCCTCCCTCCTTCTCTGTCTCCCTCCTTCCCCTCTTTGACAGCTTTATTGAGATACAATGCATCCATTTGAAGTGTACAGTTCAATGAGTTTTAACATATTCACAAAGTTGTGCAACCATCACCACAATCAATTCTAGAACGTTTTAATCATCCTCAGAAGAATCCCCTTACGTTTTAGCTATCACCCCGACACCCTATTTGGCCCAAGACCCTGGCAACTGCTATGTAGTCTTTTGCGGCTGGCTTCTTTCAGTTGGCACAATGCCTTCGAGGTTCATCCATGTTGTAGCATGCATCAGTACTTCCTTTTTATGGTCAAATAATATTCTATGGTATGGATGTCCCACATTTCATTTATCCATTCACCAGTTGAAAGATATACGAGTTTTTGTGTGAACTTCTATTTTCATTTCTCTTGGGTCTATACCTAGGAGTGGAATTGCTAAGCTGTATGGTAGCCATGTTTCACTTTTGAGGGATTTTCAGATTGCTTTCCTAAGCTCATCATTTAATATTCTTATGTCGAGTATACTGTATTCTCTGTAATCTCTGTAATCTCACCATCATTTGTTAATAATACTTGTCTTTTTTATTATAGCCATTCTAATACATGGGAAGTGGTATCTCATTGTGATTTTGATGTATTGTATTTTAAATGGTGTTTCCTTGATGACTAATGAGGTTGAGCACCTCATGTGTTTATCAGCAACTAGAACCTGTCTTTTGTGAAATGCCCACTTAAACTTTTAATCATTCTTTGGGGTGAGGGGGTTCTGGGCCATCTGCCATCATCTTATTGATTTCTAGTAGCTCTTTATATATTCTAGATATGAGTCTTTTGTGTGTTGCAAATATCTTCTCCTGGTTATAGCTTGCCTTTTCACTCTCTTAATGGAATATTTTGAATGTAAATTCTTAATTTTAATTTTCAATTAATTTCACTTTTCTTCTTCCTCTCTTCCTCATTCTCCTCTTCCTCCTTTTTCCTCTTTGTATCTGCCTTTTTGTAATCTCTTTAGGGAAGTCATAAGCTGTCCCTACATTTCTGTAGACATTAGTTTTAGCATAATGGTTGAGTGCAATGGCAACTGCCTGTCCCGAAGTCTAATCTTCAACAGCGCTCCCTCCCAAGCAACCATGGGTGCTAATTGAGTAATTGTAATGCCACGGATCACTAGGGGCCTGTTTTCACTGGCAATGAGCTCATTTTTGTATTCATGCTCAAACAGGTGAACAACCCCATCACAGGGACCCAACTGGGAGGGCTTGTTTCTTGAATCAGTACTGAATCAGTCTGGGTCCAGTCAGGAAAATAGAAACCACTTTAGGTATTTCACACAGAGTGAATTCACATAGAGAACTGGTTACAGAGGTGTTGGAAGGATGCAAGAGTAAAAGGGAGAAAGAGGGACGGACAACTAAAGGAAGAAGGGGTGGTCCCTAGAGATAAGAAACACTAACACCTCTGGGCTAGAGCCCAGAGCTGGCACGAAATTTCTGCTGCCCCATGGGAGAAGCTGGTGTTGTGGGAGAACCTCGCACTTTGGGAAAAGCTGGTGCTATGGGAGAACCTGAGATTGCTGACTCTAGAATGGGGCATATTCTCCTCCAGGATTGTAATTCTTTTTTTTTTTTTTTAAGATTTTTTTAAAAGTGGTCTCTACACCCAACATGGGGCTCAAACCCACTATCCCAAGATCAAGAGTCATGCCAGTCAGCCGGCCCTGGGACTGCAACTTCTGATAAAGATGCTCCCTCTCCCAGAGCTGCTGAGCTCTATAATCACCCAGTCCCTGCTGCTACAGCTGCCATCCTACCAGAGCAGACACTTCCTCCCTCCTGCCTTCGGAGCTCCTGCTCTGCCTCTTACGTTAGACCCTATATAGGACCTAACACTGAGACAGTGGGCACAGAGCCTGGGAAATGCAGATCACATGGGAACCCCAGAGCAGCACTCAAGAAGGTGGCGTGGGCTGGGACCACAGGCACCCACCAGCACAGTCCACCTGACTCTAGCCCCACTGGCCCGCTTTCAGCTGCGCTGCTGGGACCTCTTCTGCACTTTACTCGGCTGCCTCCAGCTCACCCCTCATGGGTGGTTCACAGGCCGCCTTCTGGGGGAGGCTTTGCTGAACCCACAGGTGCTACACTGTCTTGGGCTGCTGGTTTCTGCACATCTTCTTCTCTAGGGGTGAGTTTCCTGAGAGCAGACAGTGTATCTGATTTTGTCCCAGGTCATGAACCCAGTGTAAATTAAATGCATGAGTGAATGAAGAATGAAGGAGTGACAAGCCTGCTCTTGGGTAAACTGCAAAGAGTAGGTTGAAGGGCTTTTCTCTCTGGACATACCCTTTCCATGCTTCCAAGATCCTGGAGTCCATTATTGGACACTGTCCCCCGGTGTCCTTCATGTCTAGCCCCCACCCCTGGTGTTTAAGGATATGTAATTGGCACCATGTTGTCAGGGGCACATTCCCGAACATTGTGGCAAAACACAGCTGCCTATTTATAGCCAAGGCTATTTAAAGCCAAGGGTTTATGGAAAAATTGTTATGTGTTTGGACAAATTTGGAAGTTTTGGGTTGAAGCAGATTAAACATGATTCTTTACCATAGCACTTCTCAGATCCTTAATTCGCTAACGTGACAGTCCAGGAAGAGGACGTATCAGCCAAGTTCCCCAAACTTATATGGCCACAAAGGTCTCATTTAGGAACACCAAGCAGAGTTTGGTAATTGGTAAAATAATATTTTAAATATATTTAATTGATCTATCTTTGAATAGGCAACATACACACACACAAAGTACAAAATTCAATAGACAAACAGGTGCTCAGGAAAAATGTATCTTGCTTTCCCACCTGCCCTCCTGTTCTCCAACCACTGTCAGAGACTTCATGGGTTTCCTCCCAGAATGAGGCATGGCTAGTCACCCAACGAGGGGGGTATCCAAGAGGGCTGTGGGTGTCCCAGCTGTCCCCCACCACTCCCATCACTGACAAGGAGCCTGCTGTGGTGGCTACCGCTGTTTTGCTCTGTCCAGGCTGGACACACATGGCACTTCTTCACCTGGATTTCCAGAACCTGCCAGTGTTTCCCTGTGCTCTGCGACCGGAGGGTCCTGTGCCTCTTGTCAGTAAGTCAGAGAGAACAACGTGGCTCCCCTAGGCATGGCTTCCTCTTGTCCACGCTCAGTGCAGCCATTTGGAATGACCTCGGGACGGAAAATATCAGGAACAGCCCTAGGCTATGGCTTTGAGTAGCCTTGGGATCTCTTTGTCCTTTAGAAGAAGGAAGGAGGAGTTTTTTGGTAGATAACCCAAGGATTACTTGAGATGTAGCATGTTAACCGGGAGACCCACTCCATATTCTCCCTTCTTGATGGAACAGACTTTCCCTGAAGGGGGTGGGAGGGACACCAAGCAGATAATGACAGAAGATGATAAGGAAGAGGGGGGGATGGAACAGGTGTATTAGTTCTGTGTTGCTGCATAACCAATCAGAGCCAAGCCTGGCTGCTTAAACCAACACATATTTATTATCTCCTACAGTTTCCAGGGTCAGAAATCTGGGTGGTTCCAGTTCCACTTCTTTCCAAGATGTGGTCAAGATGTCAACCAGGGTTGCAGCCATGAGAAGGCTTGACTGGGGCCGGAGGTCTGCTGCCAAGGTTACTCATGTGATTGTTGACCGGAGGTCTCAGCTGAGTATACTTCTCCATGGGGCTGTCAAGGGTCTTCCTGACATGGCATGCAGCTGGCTTCCTCCAGAGCGAGTGATCCAAGAGAGACTAAGCAAGGAGGGAGCCACAGTGCTTTCTGTGACCTTGTCTCCAGAATCATACACAGTCCCTTCTGCTACATTCCATTTGTTAGCAGTGGGTTGCTAAGCACAGTCCACACTCAAGGAGAAGGGATTCAGGCTCTGCAGTCTAATGGGAAGAATAGCAAAGAATTTGTGGACATATTTTAATTATGTTTTCAGTGGGGACAGAGGACTAAGCATGGGGCCAAGGAACAGCTGGTAGCTCCTGGTCCATTACTAATAATCCCTGTCATCTTGGCAAGTCACTTACTTTCTGGGCTTCAGTCTCTCCCAGGCTATTTGGAGATGGTGACATCATATTCTGTTGGAGGGCCAGTGGCTCAACATGACAGGGAGGCAGAGAGCTACAGAGTCAAGGGTGTGGGCTTTGGGATCAAGTCCCTGCTGCACCACTTCCTCTCTCTCTGAGCCTCGGTTTTCCCATCTGCATCATTACCTGCCTCCCAGAGCGGTGGTGAAATGAACAGAGGCATGCATGTGCAGAGAGCTGGGCCCAGCTGAGCCTAAACTGAGCAAGTCTAGAGGCATCTATTTGCTGGTGAAGCCAAGAGGTGTGAGAAGGCTCTGCATATAATCCAACCAATGAAGAACAAGCTGCAGGAAAAAGTTCCTACCCTCCATCACCCGCGGGTTCTGTGACCCATATGAAGCTGACCTCTACCTTCATTGTTTTCCCCAGCTGGGCTACATTCTGGGGTCATGACCAAGATTTTGCATCTGGAGGAAGTATTCAGTTGCTCCTGTGATTAAAACTATCCCCCAGATGAAAGCCAAGAGCATCCTTCATTCATCATGTTCTCCACTGCTTGGTGTTACGTGTTATGTAGGCACATGGTCTGGCTCAAGCCCTGGTGGCTTAGGGACCACGGAAGCCACATTTAGAGAGCACATGGAAAGCCCCCATGTGCTCACCTTTGGGGAGAATGCCCAGCTCAGGGACTGCATGCCCCAGCCTGAGAATCAACGTTCTGTGGCTTTATATGAAGTCTGAAAAACTTGCTAATAAAATACCAACTGGAAATCAATTGTTAGCCCAGCTTTACTGGGCATCCAATTTTCTAAGGCCTTAGAATTTTTTCTGGAAGAGGAATGGATGTTAGCGGCAAGAAGTTCTGCCAGGGGCTAGAAAGATTCTTGCTTCTCTGACAGCCAGCTCTTGGTCTGGGGGCTTTCTCTGAAGTGGTTTTGGAAACACCAGTGTGGGTTCATTACTGCTGGAGACTAGAAACATGTACAAGAAGCTTCCCTTAAGTATGCACGATTGTGCTCACAGCTCCTTGGGAGAATTCCCACCAGACAGGCTGGACTCTCTCTGAACCTCCCAGGACCTGAGTTTACCTTCTCATGGGGAGCGGTTGGCTTGAAAGTATGGTCTGTCCATTGCGCTAAGGCAGATACTCCAAGGTCTGTGTGACCCCTCCCTGACCAAGCAGCACACCTCCTGTGAGGGAGAACACAGGACAGCCTGAAAATTCCTCTTTTCTTTGGAAGCAAGGCATTTTGCTTTTACTGTTTTTAAAGCAGAATAGAGAGAAACCCACATCTCAGGGCCCCACTGAACCCAAGGCTTGAAGTTGTCTGTCACCAAGGGGCAGAAGCTCTGCCCAGAAGAAGCAGAGAGAGGTGGGACACTCCTCTCTCTTAGGACCCCGAGGCAGGGTATGGGTGTAGGTGGACCCTCTGCCAGTTGGCCCCAGGCTGCATGAGTGGCCCTGGTCCTGAGCATGGGATGGAGCTGAGGGTTAGAGTCCCACCTTCAAGCAGAAGGTAGGACAGCGTGACCTGGATCTAGGTGGTACTGGCACACCGGTGGTTATAGGAAAATAGGGAAAGCCAGAGCCTGATGCCTGCCTCTTGGCATTCTCTGAGCTCTGTCTCACTGGATGAGCAGAGGAAGCCACTTTGATATGGCAGACCCAGGAGCCCTCCTGCAGGGAGCTACAGGGGGTAAAAGGTTGGCCAGAATCATAGGTAAAGAAGCACTGGCATCCAAATGAGACCTGCTGGGATCAGCATCCCAACCACAGAGCCCCCATGTGGGGCTGGAGAAGGTAGGAGAATGCTGGGCTCTGTCAGATGTCAGAACCACAGCCATTCAGAGGGTGGGCCGGCCACGTAAGACCTTCCACCAGGGGGCAGAAGAGCAAAGCTGAAAGATTGATGCACCATTGGACCAAGTCCTTGCAAGACCAACTTAGGGCCAGGAAACTTCAAACACCTTGGGTTGCAGGGCCTGATGGTACTATGGGAGAACAAATCAGAGCTGGGAAGAAGAAGAGAGCATCTGCTGGCCCTTTGGAACAAATCAAATATGGCAACAGAGCTCAGAGCCAGCAATGCAGGCTTGGGGTGGGGAGCAAAGAGCCTGCAGGTTTTCCTTGGTTTCTTAATATCAAACCCCTCACGTGAGAGGGCAGGAACCATACACCCAACAGAGGTCTCCCAGCAGCCAGGGGACTGTGGTGGAGACTGCATGTCCTAATTTCTTTCTGTCCTGGCTGGTAGATCACAGAGCAGAGAGCTGTGATTGCTTTACCAGATCTAGAATTCTGTAGACTCCAACAAGAGTGGGGCAAATTGAAGGATCACCCCTGACATGCCACGACTTGGGGAAGGGTGGTTTAGACAGCTTTGGTTGTTGTACCAGTTATCTCTTGCTGCATAACAAACCAACCCAAAGCAGTGGCATAAATAAAAAATATCAGGTATTTTGCTACTGAATCTGGGAGTGGATTACGCTTAGCCAGGCATTCTGAGGCTTCTGCTGATGACTGCCTGTGTGAACACCAAATGTCCTAGTTTTTCTAAACAGGCTAGAAAAACAATTTTTAAAAATTTAAAATCTAACTTTTTTTAAAGATTTTTATTTATTCATTTGAGAGAGAGAATGGGAGAGAGAGCACGAGAGGGGGGAGGGTCAGAGGGAGAAGCAGACTCCCTGCGGAGCAGGGAGCCCGATGTGGGACTCAATCCTGGGACTCCAGGATCATGACCTGAGCCGAAGGCAGTCGCTTAACCAACTGAGCCACCCAGGTGCCCTAAAATCTAATTTTTAACTAATTAAAAACCTGCAAGGGCGTCTGGGTGGCTCAGTCGGTTGACTGCCTTTGGCTCAGGTCATGATCCCGGGGTCCTGGGATCAAACCCCATGTTGGGGTTCCTGCTCAACGCAGAGTCTGCTTCTCCCTCTCCCTCTAACCCTCCCTCCTGCTCATGCTCTCACTTGCTCTCTCTCTCAAGTGAATAAATAAAAAATCTTAAAAAAAATAAAAAATAAAGGGCCACCTGGGTGGCTCAGTCATTAAACATCTGCCTTGGGCTCAGGTCATTATCCCAGGGTCCTGGGATCGAGCCCTGCATCAGGCTCCCTGCTCAGCAGGAAGCCTGCTTCTCCCTCTCCCATTCCCCCTGCTTGTGTTCCCTCTCTCGCTGTGTCTCTCTCTGTCAAATAAATAAATAAAATCTTTAAAAAATAATAAATAAATAAATAATAAAAAAATAAAAATAATTTAAAAACTGCAGGGGCTCCACAGGAGCAGCCCAGGGGTAGCCAGCTTGTGCCTCTGCCTAGTCTTGCAAGGTCAATTTGGAATGGCCCTGGCAGGTAAGGCATTCCAGAAGCTTCTGCTCAGCACACTGGTGCCTTGCCTGAGGTGTTCAGAGCCAGGCAGGGGTGAAGGATGTGGTGGCAAAGGAGTGAAGTAAAAGGCCTTCCCAGAGAAGCATGGCAGAGCATGTGGGCAGCAGATGAAGGGATGGGGTGGCAGCTGAGTGGGACCCACAGTTCACAGAAGCTTTCTGCAGTCCACTCTCTTATTTTTTCTGTGAAGACCCACTCTTTACCAACTTCCCCAGAAAAGCACACCTTTATGAAAGATCCTGAGCACAGCCACACTGAGGAGTAAGTAGCTGCTGAAGCTTAACATAACTCTCCCACCCAGGGACAGCTGTCCTTTACCAGGAGCAAAACGTGCAGAGTCAAAGCACAAAGCTTTAATAGTGACATCTCAAACTGACAGGTAGGTGTCAGGTAGGGTGTTAGGTGACGCTCTTAACCAAGCCTATGAATTTCTGCATCATCATCATCACCACCACCATCATCATCATCACTGTCATTATCACAACCATCACCATCAGCACCACCATCACTACCACCATCAATGTCACCACCCCCATCATCACCATCATCACCACCACCATCACCACCATCATCATCATCACTGTCATTATCACAACCATCACCATCAGCACCATCATCACTACCACCATCAATGTCACCACCCCCATCATCACCATCATCACCACCACCATCACCATCATCATCATCATCACTGTCATTATCGCAACCATCACCATCAGCACCACCATCACTACCACCATCAATGTCACCACCCCCATCATCATCATCATCACCACCACCATCACCACCATCATCATCATCACTGTCATTATCGCAACCATCACCATCAGCACCACCATCACTACCACCATCAATGTCACCACCCCCATCATCACCATCATTACCACCACCATTACCATCACTGTCATCATCATTGCCACTACCATCATCACCGCATAATAAAAATATCCCATCTTAACTTCAAGTGGAAGAAGAACATGTCCTGCTTCTGCCATATCTACTATCCTCTATGGCCCTGGAGAGCATTCATGGACCTCAACAGCTTCTGCGAGGCCCATATCAGCCACATGATGAAAGGCTCAGAGAGAGACACCAGAGAGTGAGTCAAGCCTGTCCATACTGGCCCTGAGTTACCAAGCATCTGCTATGTGGCAGGCCAGGGGTAGGCTCTGCACCTTCCTCCTCAAGCCCCCCGCTGGGTCCCAAAAACCAATCCCCTTTCTTTCCCTGTTGTCTTGCCATCTGGAGGACTTGGTCCTCTTTCTCTACCTTGTTCTGCCTGCTCCGCCCATCTCTCAGCTTCCTTCCCATCAACTGCCTTAGTAGATGCCCAAAACATTTTCATTAAAGAAGCAAATGTCCGGGCGCCTGGGTGGCTCAGTCGTTAAGCGTCTGCCTTCGGCTCAGGTCATGATCCCAGGGTCCTGGGATCGAGGCCCGCATCAGGCTCCCTGCTCGGCAAGAAGCCTACTTCTCCCTCTCCCACTCCCCCTGCTTGTGTTCCTGCTCTCGCTATCTCTCTCTCTGTCAAATAAATAAATAAAATCTTTAAAAAAAAAAAAATAAGAAGCAAATGTCCGTTGCACATGTGTGACTCCCACAGAGTAGGCATCAGGCAGTTGTCTGGCCACCAGTCTTCCTTCTCTCAGCCCAGTGGTGCCACCATCAGTCCCCTTCATTGTGGCAAGGGTTGAAGGCACTCATGACACATGCAAGGCAATTCCGTGAAGGAGCCTATCTCTGGTACTCTTCAGAGGGGACCATGGCATGCGGCCATGTTGCATGTCATAGATTGTCGAGTTTAACATGACCCAAACAGGCTCAGTGCTCTCAACTGTAGAATGGGTTGTTTGGATTTTTAAATGCAATTATACATTTAAAATGTATATTTATCCTCTACAAAGTGCTAGACAGAGGGGAAGTCATATTTTCTTTCTCAATGTGATGGGGAGGGAAACTGAGGCTCAGGAGGGAGAAAAAAGACACACTCTTATCCCCATTTTCTTGATGACTTGCCGTGAGAACTTGGAGCTGCCTTGAGCTTCTCCAGAGGACAGATTTCTCAGTTGTACAATGAGGACATTGCATGGAAAGCATCTAGTGTTCCTCTGAGATGCAAGGCAGCACCACCATCATATCGACACTTCCCCAGCAAAGCTTCCAGTGCTGTGGGTTGGTGGCATCTTGAGGACTCACCAGTACGGGTGTTCCTTCACTAAACTGCAGTGGACGCAGCCCCCAAACTAAGCAGGGCCACAGAGTCCACCCCAAGATGAAGGAGCAAGTAATCATAGAAATCATCCTTGCTAAACTGCAGCCAGTCTACTGTGACATGTGTGTGATGAGTACTGACATATCACTTTACAACATACTGAAATTGTTACGTACCTCTTATGAGAATAAGGTAAGGTAGATATGGCGGAAATGTTCACTTTGCAGATGAAAAAAATGACCTTCAAAACAATTAAAGGCCATCCTGAGACCACACAGGCAATTATAATGCAGTTGGACCCTGACTCCCAGTTCTGTTTTCTTGTGATATAAGCAGTCAACAGGGGCAGGGAGGCGAGGGGTGACTAGAAGACATTTTTTTGCCTCCTTAGTCTGATCTTCCTCTGGTCCTAAAGCCACATTCTCTAGAACGCTACTTCTTTCCCATCCTACACAAAAGGGAGAATTCATTAAGGACTATCAGTCCCTCACACCCTACAGAGAATAAAATCTCCACACTGCATTTGACCATGACTAGGTAGTGAGGTTGTGTAGAAGGAGGGAAGGATGCTACTGAAGCCTAAATCATT